TATTTTATATATAAATATAATTGTATCAACACATATATGGCACTCAAAATAGTTCATAGCAAGTAATTTCATCTAGATTACATGGTATCTATAAAGTTTTCTTATAAACCATGGTCTCAGTATAAGAGTTTTATTGTAAATGACACACAGAGAGCTTTTACGTTTTTATGTTACTCCTTGAACAAATTCATTCTCTTTATTTCTTGAGGGCTTCATTATGCTGTCAACAGGTGCATTAACATTTGACTGAAAGAACCAAAAATAATTTAGGTTAGTTTGCTCAGGTAGAGTGACTGGCATTTCTCCCTTCACTATCTAGCTCAAAGTAAAATAATAAACTCTATTAGGATTTAATTATGATATCTAATTTTCATTGTTATAATCAATGAATATTGCCTAGGACTTTGTGTTGGGAGCTCCCAAGCCTAACATTCTAAGGAGGTGCTGCAGCAGATTATTTGCTGCCTATCACAGATGCTGTAGAATTTGTCTGAACATACATAAAACTTGCATGCAGGTCTGACAGCAGGAATGGTATGCTGCTTATGCAAAACTTAAAGGTAATATTTCAGAATCCTTATGCTTTGTGGTTGTAGTGGAGTCAGATATTAAAATACTAGTTAAAAATAACAATAGTATGCTTAAGTCAATTAAATACTATTTTGTGGGTTTTGAAAGCTGCAACTGCTGTAGTATCTCTTTGCAGAAGAGAAGGTTACTCACCCAGTGCAATAACTGAGGTTCTTTGAGATATGTCTTTTTGAAAGAATATTATGTTTATAGTTAAGATAAAACTTTAACGAGAAACAATTAGAATATGACATCAGGAAATAACAATACATTAATCTTAACTAATCTAAATGCATGTCCAGATAGTGTCCAAAAGAAAAGTAATACTTTTAGTTCAGTGCTAAAATGGTATTTCACAGTACATGGATTTGGGCAGTGACCCATTATCTTGGTGTATTCTATTAGGGCAATACATGAGCTGACCCAACTTTTCACTCCAGCTTAAAAATGTTGCCCATTAAATATACTTCCTCTAGTCAGAGCAGATTGTGGGGTTTATGGAACAATGATGTCGGAGCGTCCAGATTGGTTTGGCAGCTGCATTGTTCTCAGAGGGTAAACCAGACGCACTTAAGTCCCGGTCTTTTTCATAGGCTTTTGTTCATACCAAATTATTCTTTCACTGTGCTAGCATTCATGATGGCATGTTAAAGGAGTGCATCCTAGCAACTAAAGACTGGTTGCTAGGCAGCCTAGCTTCCAATAGGTTTTTCTTGTTTAAGACACTTTTTGGTGGCAGTTCTGTGAAGGCCACAGTGTGGGTTTTTAACTGTATCCTTTTATTGAGATACTGTTGTGATTTGTTACTGGCACTAGGCTATCCAGTGTATTACAGTAGTTAATAAATCACCAAGTGTAAAGGTTCACTTCCTAAATTCCCTTTGTATTTAATCTGCAGTATTGCTTGAACTCCTAAAGATCCCTATAAAGAAAATGAACATTGACTGATATACTTCAAGAGACAGCATCACAATCGCTCTGCCTTTTAACTAAATCAGGTCTATACAGAAAAATATTTTCTACTTCTATCAGTCTAAACTAGATTAAACTGCTGGAAAAAAATTCTCTTTGGTTACAAACCAAAAATGGTAAGTTATCAAGTAGGACAACTTAGTTAATACAGCTATTTACTGAAAATCTCTACTGCTGTGGAGATGTCCTAACAATGCATTTAAAAACTTTTTTTTATTAAATCATGGATGGCATTTTCATTTCTCTCACATTTGTCTTGAGAGAAGTCTTCATGAGTTGTCATATCTATATTCTGCATACTTTTTTTTCCCCCAGCAAAGGAAATAAAACTCCGCAAATGACTCAGTACTCTTAAATATATACTACTAACACGGCTACCAGTCTGAAATATATACTATTTATTTATCGGGGCGGGAGGTTTATTTATTCAAATGGAAGGAATTTTGTATCTTGGGTAAGTTTAAACTATGGATAATTGTTAATAGAATGGAGACAATGGAGTTGTGTTTAATACAATGATTTTTCTCAGTGTGATTTCAATAATCGGGTTTGTGGCCATGCTATATATGACATTCAAGCACTGCCTTCTGTATATGTGTCTTGCTTAATTTTTGTCCTGCATGAACTAGAAAAGCTGTTGTTTTTCTGTTTCATCCTTATATTTTATTTTTTAATAACAGAAACAGTTCTGCTTTATGCCAGAATTCTCTTTCAAGAGAACAAAAAGTAAAGGAAGTAATAAGTTCCTTTTAAACAGATTATGGAGATAATTTTTCAAATATCTATTTCCTCATAAAAGTTATGTTAAACTACAATAATGTGAACTCCTCTAGTAAACTTGGGTGGGTGGGGTTTTTATGAGGCACAGAAAACCACAATCTGCTTTATTCCATATCTCCTATATACCATCCATCTCTGCATTTAGGCCCTGATCCAGCAAAGTACTTATGCACATGCCTAAGCTTAAGCATGGTGACTAGCCACATTATTGAAATTAATATTTAAGTACTTTTCTGGATCGCTCTCATTTACTTCAATAGACTTGGAATCAGCCCATAGTTCCAAGTCTTGTTCTTCTGACTAAAAAAAAGCTACTTTGAGAATATTCAAAGTGTTTCTTGATTGGCCTGGATTTTATAAAGGAATTTAGGAATGTGTAGGGATGTTTACCTGACTGAATGAATACTCTGTTTCAGGATTCATTGGACTATATTTATTCTATGATTAACCCATTTTCTGTAAGGTGGCTTCTTAAGCATATTTGCCTAATTAGTGAAATATAAAGAGGAACAAAGGGGATCCAAGGAACTATAGACCAGTCAGCCTAATTTTGATATCTGTAAAGTTACAAATTATTAAACAATCAATTTATAAGCACCTAGAGGATATTAAGTTTTTAAGTAATAGCCAATATGGATTTGTCAAGAACAAATCATGCCAAACCAACCTAACTTCCTTGTTTGACAGGGTTACTGGCCAAGTGCATAGAAAGCAAGCTATAAACAACATATATCTTGATTTTTTTTTTTTTAAAGTAAGCCTTTTAACACAGTTCCACATGACAGTCTCATAAGCAAACTAGGGAAAGTGGTCTAGATGAAATTAAGAATACAGTAGTGTTTGTAAGACTGTACTTAAAGAGTAATTATCAATTGTTTGCTGTCAAACCGGGGCGGGGGAGGAGTATATCTAGTGGGATTCCACAGAGTTCTATCTTGGGTCTGATACAATTCAATATTTTCATCAATGACTTGATGTTGGAGTTGAGAGTATAATTATTAAATTTGCAAATAACACCAAGATGGGAGCTGTTGCTAGCATGTTGGAGGACAGGATTAGAATTCAAAATGACCTTGACAAATTGGAGAATTTGTCTGAAATCAGCATGTTGAAATTCAGTAAAGACAAATGCAAAGTGCTACACTTAGGAAGGAAAAATCAAATTCACAACTATAAAATGGGGAATAACTCAATACTGTAATACTTCAGAAGACGATCTGGGGGTTTTACTGGATCACAATGACTATGAGCCAACAATGTGAAGCAGTTGCGAAAAAGGGAAATGTCATTCTGGTGTGTATTAAAAGGAGTGCCGTACATAAGACACCAGTGGTGGTATCCCACTCTACTTAGCATGGTGAGGTCTCAGTTGGAGTTCTGTGTCCAGTTCTGGGCACCACACTTGAAGAAGGATGTGGATACATTGCAGTGAGTCCAGAGGAGAGCAACAAAAATTATAAAAGGCTTAAACAACTGGGTATGTTTCGTCTAGAGAAAAGATGACTGAGAGGGGACCTGATAAGTCATCAAAGATGTTAAGGGGTGTTATAAAGAGGCTGGTGGTCAGTTATTCTCCATGTCTACTGAAGGTAGGACAAGAAGTAATGGGCTTAAGCTGAGGCAAAGGAGATTTATGTTTGATATTAAGGAAACCTTTCTAACTATAAGGGTAGCTAAATTCTGGACTAGGCTTCCAAGGGAGATGGTGGAATCCCTGTTATTGGAGGCTTTTAAGAACAGGTTAGACAAACACCTGTCAAGGATGGTGTAGACATACTTGGTCCTGCCCTGATGAGGGAAGCTATACTAGATGACCTCCTGAAGTCCCTTCCGACCCTACCTTTATATGATTCGGTGATGATATAGTAATATGCTAGTTCCCTTGTATTAAATGGAATGTCTAAGCCACTTAGTATAAAAACTTTTCCATAGCAGTACTCGATTGTTTTATAGCTGCATTTCTGATTTATTACACGGTTTAGTAATATTATCTTTGAGAGTACGTCCACAATGAAAAATAAAAAACCCACAGCAGCAAGTCTCAGAGCCCAAGTCAACTGCCTCGGGCTCACAACAGAGATGTTTACACTGCTATTTTTAGTCCCATAGGGCCAATGTAAGTCAGCTGACCAAAGGTCTGAGACTCACAGCCACGTTTTGGGGTGGGAGGGTGGGTTGGTTAGTTGGTTTTTCTTTTGCAGTGTAGACATACCCAGTGACAGAATATCACAGTTACTTTAAATCTGAACAAAAGACTCCTGTTCAAGTTAACATTTTCTAGTGTCTGACCTATACAGCTACTTTATTTTCAAAAACTTTTAAGGAAAACCAGTTTATATAAAAACTAATTTTTGAATGTATTCATCAGTTTAGATGTAAATGCTTTTTGAAAACTGTTGAATAATAATAATAATAATAGTAATAATAACAATACTCTGTTAATCAACCAGGATTGATTTTATTGGAAAGTTCTCTCTGTTTGAAGAAGTGTGTTTACATGCAGCAAGTTTCATACTAGTTTGTTTACAAATGCAATCAAACTTTAAGTGAAGAGGGAATTTCCTCGAATGTGAAAGTATTTTTAAGTTGGTAAAGAAACGGAGTCCCAGAGGAAACAACAAGAAAACCCAAAATAAAATAAGTGCTAACTAGTTACAACCATTTTATTTCTTCTGTAGGAATACGGGACACTTTATATTCAGGAATACAGGAAAAACAGCAAAGTGGAGTCGAGTACATGCAGCAGCTTCATGGGCGTGAAGGATCATCTGGGGCATGACCTAGGCCATCTTTATGTGGAGCGAACTGACACACAAATAAATGCAGTTGGATCTTGGTCAATGGTGGAGAAACCAACAATGGATAAAGTTAACTCTAGGAAGGAAGATGCAGATAAGGAGGCATCTGAGGAGACGGGAAGCTCCAGCTGTGATTCAGAAGAAAGCACAAATTCTGATAATGAGTCAGAGAGACTGAATAACATTACAGCAGAATCACATCTACAACCTAAGACTCACCGACAACTGTGCAGGTCTCCCTGCTTACAGCCCCACGTACAAAAACGTTATGAAATCTTACAAGACCTTAAAATAGAGGAGGCTCAGATAGTATCTAAGGAAGTAAAGAAGCCCCCTGATGTGGTAAAGGAATATCAAACCAAACTGGAGTTTGCACTTAAGTTAGGTTACTCTGAAGAACAAGTTCAGCTTGTGCTAAATAAGCTTGGCACTGATGCTTTAATCAACGATATTTTGGGAGAACTTGTCAAACTTGGAAATAAAACTGAGACTGACCAGCCTGTAAATAATGTTAACACGAACATAATGCGTGAAGCATCTTCTATAGAGTCTCAGAGATCTGAGTCTCCACTTCAGGAGGATGTGACTGAAGATGGAGATAACCTGAGGCCAATAGTTATTGATGGCAGCAATGTGGCAATGAGGTATGTGGCAATGAGGCATTGATTTACTGATACATTACATTACCTATTATATGGAAATTGCATTATCTTGCCCAGTTAGAACACTGATGTGCTGTATGATTACACATCTATAACAGTACATTGGTTCTCATTTGCATAATCACAGTGTGTTTATTTTTCATCAATACAATATGCAAACCCCTGTATTCAAAGGGCCATTAGCCAGTCAGAGTGCAGAGATTTGCATTATCAGTAATTGCAACCATATATTAATTATGCAGATCTCTCTACTTTGGCTATTATTAAATTCTGTCCATTTTGATCAATATTAATTGTAGATCTGGAAAAATGAACAATGAGGGTGGACGTTTGATAAATGACATGAAATTACTATCATCTCTTGAAATCAGAGAAACCTGTGTGGAACTTTAGAGGGACCTAACAAAGCTAGGTTTACGGGCAGCAACATAATACAAGAACAAGGAAACATCCAGTGAAAGACAATAAATTCAAACCTGATAAAAGAAAATTCTTTCTTTACCCAATGCCACTAGGTATCACTGAAACCAACTGTTTAGCAGGCACCATTTCTATAAATAATTGCACCATCCAAAGTTACCTATGATAAGGTAAAATAACTGCGGTATAACCCCTCGTGCTTCAAGTCATAAATCAAACACTAATGGATTGGCTTAGTAAAAAAAAATTATCCTATTGAGTAGGCTTATTCCACAATGAGGCATCTTTCCTCTGAAATAGCTAGTACTGGCCACAGTCAGAAATAGGATACTGGGCTAGAAGTTACAGCAATTACTGAGACTGCAGTCTTCAGAATTTCAGTGATGTGCCCACAGAAGAACATGTCTGCACACCTCACACACTCATCTTCACCTGTAACTGTAGATAATGAAATACTCTTAGTTGTGCATAGGAGGGAGCTGGCCTTCCTCACTGGTCAAGAAGGAGTGGAGGAGGGAAGTATTGAAGATAATGGGATGAGAAACGTCAGAAATCAAGGTGGCCATACTTTCTGTGAGCGTATGGATGAGGAATTATTTGGTAGTTAATCGGAGCACAGGGATTTATACTAGCCAATCCTACCATAGTATTCAGAAGGAAAAGCCATTTCAGCATAGTAATAATTTGAGGATACTTCTTGTTTGCTTCGTAGTAAAACTTGGTATAAGAAACTTCAGGGCTTGGGGCATCTGAGTTTATTTAGTTCATGATCGTAATGATCTGGTAAACAGAGTATTGTCAAATGTAATTTAAGTATAGATAACTCTAGCAACTGGATAATTTCAGTAGATTTAAGTAAAAGCAATTAACCCATAAATGCAGGTTGCTACCTTCTTTCCAAACTCTGAATGCTAGTATTTCCTATCCGCTCACCTTTTAATTTCTTTGGCCAACTTGCACATCTGTTCAGTTTTCTCCTAATTCTTTCCATGTGATATGCTGTGTCTTGTTTTTTAGCTGTCTCTTACGATATAAAAGAGCTGGATTGTAAATACTGAATATGTTCAAGTTAACATAACAAGTAAACAGTATTCTAACACTCTAATTAAAAGCGATCCAGAGACTTCTGAAATACATCCACATTTTGATTAAAACTTAATTTTACATGGTTACAGAACTGTTTTTATAAAATGTTTAGAAGTGTCCTTTTTAGCAAAAACAGAGTGCCATCATAGTTTTGCTCATTGTTGGTTTATTCCTTCTTAGTGCTTTAACTGTTAGAGCCAAATCCTCCGCTGCTCTGTGACCGCTTTGTGCTAATCTGGTGATGCAAAGATGCCATAAAGATGGTTGAACCAATGTTAAGGATTACCTCTGTGTACAGGAATTCTCAGATGGTATAGAGCCCTTCTCCAGCACTTGGGGCTTGACTGGGAAAAAGAGGGCATTGGTCAAGGGATCCCTGTGCTCTGAGTATCCTGAGCAGTAATTCCTGATGGCCCCTAGGTACCAGAAGCAGCATCTCTAATCTGGATCTGGTTACTGACCCAGCATTAAAGCTGTATGAGGGGAGCAATACTCGCACACTTTTTATAAACCTTGCTTCCCTACACGTTACACCAGGCGCTCCTTGGAAGCAACTGAGAACCAGGCCATCCATTTTTAATAGACACTCAACTCTTTATATAAATTCAGACATGCAGACCTTCCTATGTTCAGTTGTTGCCTTAACCACCTCTGTGAAATGAGACAAATTTGAGTGTGTGCTGTGCTTCATAGAACCCAATTTTATTAAAACAAGTATTTTTGGCAGCAAGATGATGCACCGAAAAGTCGGAAGCTCGCAGTATCTTTTGTGGGTTTTCATAGCATGTAAAAGACAGTCATGATAATTATAGGGCTAGATTCTGTTTTTTACAGCCAGAAGTATGTTGAACAAGGTGCAGAGATGCTGGGCTGTTTTGTAGTGTAGAATTTTGGATGACTTTGCCACAATTCCTCTGTCTAGATCAGTGGTCCCTAAACTGTAGGGGGATGGGGAGGGACTGCCACCCAGCCCCGCTCTGTCTGCTGCCCGGCCCCTCGCCCAGCCGCTGGCTCCAGGCCTTGCTCTGACACCAGGCCAGCTCTGCCTTCATTCCCTCTCTGCCCCCATCCCCAGTTCTGCCACCAGCTTTGCCTTCAGCTCAAGATCCTCTGCTGAGCTACCTGTGCAGTAATGGAGTGGGGGTGTGGAAGATTCCATTACTGGTAAGGGGGGGCACAACTAGAAAAGTTTGAGCACCAGTCATCTAGATGTTTCAGTGATGTGATGTGCATGAATGAGTGGTGAGTATCTGCATATGCTTAATTGGCTGTTCAACTGTCATTGCAATACATGCTTTCCCCACTTGTCATTACACCTTGTTGATTGATGCTAAGGAGCCATGATACTTCTTGCCTATTTTTGAATAGCTAGCAGGAAACAATGACTGTATTCTTGAAAAATATTGTGCATAATTCCTGATTGGGAATGAAAGATCTGGGGAGGCATCCTCTTTCTCATCTTGCATAACCCCCCGCACACACATACACTTCTCCAGGAATGGTCTGGTCTGTAGTTTTATTTCTGTGCTCTTGTGTCCACAGGCAAGAGGTAGTCACTCGATATGATAGCATTCAGCTGCTACGATGGTGGAACAGAATAGAACCTAAGTAGAAAGTACTAATTGAGCTGAGAGATCTAATAGGTGTATTAGGGAAAATACACTGTGGGTAGGTTCTGGACTAACAAATCACTAGAGACATGGGGAGACCTTGATGGTTTAAATAATGTTGCTGCCTTCAGTACATCTAAGTGATATTTTGGCATGGCTTCTCCGGTAGTTTGTCCTTTAAACTGAAGGCAGTGGATGAGTTGGTCCTCTTATATTACAGGTCCTCTTGTATTATCTTCAGATATTGGCCGAAGTAGTGAATTGGTTTATTAAAACTTTTCCTTTGGCAGAGAGGCTGGTGTCTGGTGATTTGGTGGTTTATAGTTTAGTACCACCTAATGAATGCTCATAGAAGATTTACTGGGCCACCTCCAGTTTTTTTTAATTCTCTCAGCTTTCATATTGCCATTGATTTTAGTTACTTGGGTGTAACTGCTTGTGGTTAACTTCTCTCTTACACCAACACATGGGAAACTGTCATTGGAATATTCTTGCAGGTTCGATTTTTCTTTTTGTGTAAATTGTAAAACATGTAAAAAGCAAGTCCGGCAGCTACCAAAAATGGATATTTTAAATTCCTTTAAAAAAAAAAAGGAGTACTTGTGGCACCTTAGAGACTAACCAATTCATGCTCAAATAAATTGGTTAGTCTCTAAGGTGCCACAAGTACTCCTTTTCTTTTTGCGAATACAGACTAACATGGCTGTTCCTCTGAAACCTGTCATTAAATTCCTTTGAGATTGTTGCTGCCTTCTCGGTCTGCTGTACATCTATACAAACTAACTGTAAGTGCCAAAATCCTCAAATGAAAGAAGATAGTATAGTAAATAAAAGGCTTCTATGGCACTTGTGGTTCAAGCCTGCTGTATCTAAGCCATGATACACATGGTCCTTTCAAAGTGCTATATAAAACTGATATTGCATACTGTGAGGTGGTGTTTACATGTAGATGATAATATTACTATTTTGTATTACACACATCAGTACACTTTGCCCACAGAATAAAACAGACTTTCTCCATTACTGAATAATGCTACTAAAACCTGTGTCAATATTCTCTTACAATATGAATTGCAAATTGGTTGATCGTCACTCTCCCCATGGTGCCTACATCATTTAATCAATCCCTGTTCTATATCCTTCCTTGCAGAGATACTCCAATTTGAATTTTTAAATGGGCATTCCATACTTCTCACAATATCAAAAAGTCTAAATAATCCTAAATTGCCTTTTTTTAATAAATGCACTAACAGATAATTGAGGCTAACGTTTGACCTATCTCTTGAAAAACAAAATGTGTTTAATCTAATGATAGTTGTTTATACTCTAAATATTTATTTCTAAAAATTATACTACTGCAATATTGCCAACTGCAAAAGTTTAAAAAATTGAGTCTGGCCCTAACTCACGAGATTTATTTTTTAATTAAATAATGGGATGTTTTTTCTGTTTTCTGGCAACTTTCTAACTCTCTGCTCAATCCCAATATGCATGTGAAAATGGGTGTTGTCAATTTATAAGAATTATAAATCAGCCCCACGACAACTCCGCCTACCCAACCACACAACAATTCTGCACCTCCCAACCCCATATCTGCCCCTTGCCCAATGTGCATCTTTGTTCTTCTTGCTGTTCCAGAGGTTCTTCATCCTTTCATCCCAAGCCTCATGGAGAGGCAGCTCTAGGGGATCCTCTTCTCCACCTTAACAGGACTGTGTTGCAGGATTACAGGGGAGGAGAGAGCAGCTGGCCCATTTTTCATAGAAGTTGGAGGAGGGAGCAGAAATTGGTCTTTTTCTGCTCTCTCTTCCCTCTCCTCCATTCAGATACTTCTCTCAGCTCCTAAAGACCGGGGAGAGAGCTCTG